GGCAGACTGGTACCTATTGTACGAACATTTAACGAGCGGTAGCTCGTTATCAAACGGGGCCGCCCAATCGCCTTTCGACCGGATAGATTCGATTCGCATTCAGGACCGGATGGAAACGAAAAAAAAAAAAACGAGCCAATGCGGTGGTGTCGTCATTCCGTCGTGTCATTCCGCTCCGTAGGCCACGCCGCGCGTGCAACCAGCCGAAATTTGAATGACGCTTTGCCCGATCGTCTCTCCACCTACGCGTTCTTTCTCCCGTTCTCTATCATTCGATTTAGATCGTCCGAAACGAGATTTCTGCCGACCATTCTGTCAAGTGCCGTTCGCGGCTGATTCTTTTAACGTGACCAAAAACCGCGCGTTCGACGCCTGTCCCTCGATGATTTTTCGATCTTTTCGCCGCGATCAATCGAACCATCGATGCTTCATGTTCAATCGTTACCTATTTTCGTCAGATTCACCACAAAAAGTGAAACTGCACCCAGAAAAGAACTACACAGAACTTCCAAAGCTGGGTTTTTATTCAGATGATTGTACGGTGAAACAGGTTGGAAAATCTAGTTTTTCAAAATGTCATTTACGTAGTATGAATGGTACGATGGAACAAAATCATCGAACCGTATACGTTACAAAACTGCAAAAGTGTACGAGGTAGCGTGGCAAGAGAGGAGAAACGTTTCGATACGCGGTCGCCGGATCGAGGCTCGAATCTTTCGTTTTCCTCGATTGCTCTAACTTAACTAATTGAACTCCATCCAGGCCATCCCGAGACCTCCTCCTCTTTCCGAGTCTAATAACGCCAAATGGGTATCACCCGTTTCTAGACTCGATGGTCTTACCTTTATCTCGACTGCTGTAACCGCTCGAGCTATCTAAACTGCCGATAGGTTTCCACTTCTAGTTCCACTTCTCCGAGTCTATCACTTGGAACTACTGCTCCTCGCAAAAACTGCCCTTGCGCATGCAAAAAGTTCGATCGAATCTACTTCTTGGATGGTTGAAAAAAAATTCCTGTCCCTCGACCCATCGTTTCAAATAGCTCCGCAATGTATCCGGATCGTTTCCTTAACGGTGCACCGAGGATCCTTGCACTGCTCGGGAACGTTTGCCAAGTCCGTCGACGGTGTTTGACGCGACGCCAGTTGTACCTAGTCTCTCTATTTCTTTCTCCGTCGAACGTTCCCAAAAACGAGGAGAGGGACTGAGGAGAGACGAGGCGAGAGAGGAAGAGACACGATTAATTTACATGTTGGCCAAATATCGGGAGGACAGCAACCGAGGCAACCCCTCGGGCGAAAGGTTTGAAAGGGTGGCTCGCCGCGCACGAACCTGTGTTTTCCGCTCGCGGAAGGAAGACACAGCGAGGATACGGAAGGCGAGGCCAAACTCGCTTTCCACGACGCCGCAGGACCACCGTCGCTCGGATGCACGTAACGAAATATTCCGCGTCACGTTTTGTTACTATCACCGTTGATGGCCGGGAGGAATGTCCGCGAGAGATAGAGAAAGAGAGTACGAAGCGTGCGGGGGTGGAGGATGACAGCGAAAGAGAGATACATCGGGGGAAGTCTCTGCAGACTTTCGACTTGGCAACGGCAACGACGAGGAACCTTCAATTTTAATGAACCGAGCACGAACTACATAGTAGATACGAATGGAAGAGAGGGGAGAGGACGCGTTCAGCCGAGGAAAGTTTCTCTCGATGCTTTCCTTTTCCTTCCAGTTTTCTCGTTCTTCGTGGGTATCTCCTATCCAAGCCTGTGTCCTTCCTTCCTTCCTTCCTTGGAATCCTGACTGGGAGGAAATTTCAGCTGCACTCTGAATATTGGACACAAAGTTTCATTGGATCCTGCATATGTATACGTGTATCGGTATAAGTATAAGAAAGCTGAGAGGGGAACGGGAATAATACATCGGAACTATCGAGACGGTAATATTAGCTGATGGAACCATGCGACAATCACTGGTCGAGGTATCGAGGGAAACTTTCCGAGGTCGATCGAAACCCGTGTTTCCCTTTCGGGCAAGCCGCCGAGCGGCCGAGTCAGGTCAGAACGCGGAATGTTAATAGACACGGAACAATGGAGGATTTCAATTTCACAGCGCGTTAACGATGATCGCGACGCTGGCTAATGGCGGTTAATAACGAGCCGACCGTAATGTCTTAATTGCCGGTCATTGCGATAATAAAAGTAATACAAATCGGAATGCAATCGGAACGTCGTTATTACATGGGATATTAATTAACAGCTTGCGGCACGTTATTAAAGGCGCACGTCGCTCTTTTTAAGCGCCGTCGCTCCGCGACGCATCAATTGTCTCTGCTCCTTTCGCTCATGATTTTTCCTTATCCTTTTTCCTCATCCCTCTATCGCGTTATTTTCTTATTCGCCGCTTCTACCTTTTCTATTTTCCGTGAGTTCTCTTCTTTTTGATCTTCCCGTACGCGCGATCATCCATGGCGCGACGCGACGGTAGTGGCGGCTATCGGTTTTAATTAACATGCTCGCGTTATATTCATCCTGTTGTGAACGGTTGAGACAAAGGGCAGTGGCGCTCTTTGTTCACCTCGTCGTTGGAAGCTCTTTCACATGCTCGAGAACCATAGGGCAGGGCGTGTCCACTCGTGCGGCCTCTTCTTCAGAACCAGTTCCACTTGTTTGTAAACACAATGGAAGAACTTCTATTTCTCTACAGGGAAAACAGATAGAGAAAGAGAGAGAGAGAGAGAGAGAGAGGAAATCCTCGTTTCGGACACGTTTCATTACTTTCCACGCGACACCGGTCTACCGTCCACTTTTCACGTGCAAGTTTCTTCTTGATATCTTAATCTACTTTTAATTCACCAGACCGGACCGATTACGAGCGCTCCACAAGCGTAAGTAATTAATGTTGCCCGTGGCGTTTATTTTGCTACCTTCATGCCCGTTTACGTCTACCCCATTTTCTTCGGTCTGCTAACGAAACAACGTGATTAACGAGAGATAAATATCGCTTGATATCCCGACGGTCAGCCTTTTTCTTGCGAATATCCAAGAACCGGTCAGGAATAGATTTTCAAAGGGAGGTTTATCGTCGTCGGGACGGTATTGTACGCCGCATCGAGTTCCCTCCCTCGAAGACTTCTCGAACTTCCGGTCTGCGACTCGGCACGGCCGCTGCTGGCGGCGCGGTTCTGCTCGCGAAAATACAAAGACTGTCCATTTGCCATCTGATAATAATTGGAAAAGTTATCGCGGAGAGATGAAGTTTTACCCCGCGACTAACATCTACCGCGGACCCGTTCCCTCTAATGTAAAATGGAGAAACTTTCGCATCGGGGAATAACTTCCGGTGCTTCTGAATGATACCTATTACTTTCTTTCCGCCGCAAACACCGGTCTATCCTCCCATCTCCGTTGATTTTCTTGCCCTGAATTTTAACTAATCTGTGCGGCTCACGCCAAGGAGATTAATTCAATTGCGTAAATTACTTTGCTCGCGCTCCGCCGAGACTTACTACCTTTCCCGCGCCTTGCCTCTCGCGCGAAAATATTCTTTACATCGCGCTCGCCTCGATTTCGTCAACTGCAAATTATTCTCGCGCGACGCCGATTTTCCTCGCGTTTTACGGCACCGCGATCGATCCGTTCTTATTCGCACGTGCGCGACGAGGAGCACGATTAATCACTGCGCGCTGCGATTGTGTCTAATTGATAATATAACGGGCGGGCAATCGCGACCACTTGGCCTCGCAAACATTCATAACGCGGACTAGTTGACGCGTCGTCATCACCGAATTGTATCGTCCATTATTGCAGCAACCGCTTGACTCCGCGCCAAATTAATGACTGACTACAATATTCCTTCGATAAACGCGAGATACTCGAGTTTCCAAGCGAGATAACACTTTTAATAGTGGAGATGAAAAAGTCGCGTTTAGCCTGTAAAACCTTTTCACATTTATTTAAGGAATAATGTACTCGTTTTCTACCTTCTCATTCTCTGTTATCCGATTTTTTGTTACTCAATTCAAATTTAATCGCGTTCGATCCGACGATTCGGTACAGTTTTTCAGACGGACCATCTCCATTGTTTTTGCCATCGATTGTACTAGCGGCTCGTTCCTCGCGAAAATTCCATTGATAACCGTTTATTGAAATAATTTTACAAACGATCGTTTCTTCCGCGCGTACGCGAGAAACAAAAGGGGACGCGAGCTTTGCAGGAGCCGTTATTAATTTTCCCAGCCGGTTCAATTAAACACCCGGCCGCCCCGTCGCATCGGAAAGTCAGAGTCTCGCCGAGTTTCCCTCGCCGCCCGTTCGTTCTTTGCTGTTGCTCCCTATTATCTGTCCCTCGCCCTTCTTTTTATATAACTTCGCGAATCTTAAGTCACAATTTACTTTACTATCTCGAATACGCCATAAAGCGTCAAGTATGCGGTTTGTTCACCGTCGCTAATAAATTCGTCAAATTTCAAATTGTTGTTTCCAAAAAGAATTTTCGGAAATGTCAAAAATTCGTTTCTGGTTCGAACAAATTTTTCATTTTCAAAACCCTTTCCACCGTTTTTGCAGCGCAGCATTGTGCTGTCGTCTATTAAATGCCATCACGAAGCAGCATTGTTCGCGACGTTAATCGCAGCTCCCTCGTAGGACTTGGACAAAACGATAAAAATCGATAATATCTTGCAATACTTTGGATAGGAGGTAAAAATGAAATTCCACTGGCTTTTAGCGGTTCCCTTTTCGACCGAGCACGTCTGTTTCGTTGCCAAGAAACAATCGAGAGAGCGCGTAGAGAGAGACGAGACACCGAGCAGCGGGCGGATACTACACGTACAAATTGTCGTGTCTTCCCGGTGACCACCGGCGTTCCGCGTTTTATTCCCTGAAAATACGTTCGCCGGGGAATTTGTCTCGGCGACGAGAGGACGACGTCGTCGTTCCTGACGTCGACGTCGACGTGATTTATAGACAGTGTAACCGGACGGTTCTCTCCTTTTTCTGTTACAGATGTGAACTGTTGCCAGAAGTATTATCAACTCGCATTACGTATGGAGTAATTGAAAATCGCATCGGGGGACAAGGTGTGTGTGTGAGTAGTTACTCTGCTGTGCAAAATTTTGTCGTATACTCCGGCTCGAGAAGATCCGATGTTTTAAAAAATGAATGTAGAACGTCGATTCGTTCGATGGTTCGCATTAACGGAACGCCGTTTCCCGTTTATCATTTCGCGAGCAGATATTCTTTCGCGGTGCTGCAACGCATTCGAGTATAACGGATGAATGCGGTTGCAATTGTAACCAAGAGGAGCGAGAAGGCACCGCTGAAAGCCGTATTGCACTCGCAACAATCGTTTCAGCTAGCAGCTACGGTTTCTTCTCGAGCTTGACTAACGAGAGCGCGCCGACGAAAAGAGGGAAGGGAACAATACATATAGCGGGATGTACGTGTTGCAGCCACGGCAGACAAGGCGCCTTCTAATCAGGCATTCGCCGCATTTTTCTGTTCCAGGTTTCACCGACCGTCGCGACCGTTTCTCTCTATTTATTATCAAGAAGTATTTCTTACTATCGCAATTGTACTTCGTATACACGATGTCCGTGCACTTAAAGTAAACGGTTTATTCGTATTTTTGAGAATCGTGATAGCTTTGTAGTGTGAAAATGTAAATTAGGGCGAAGGAAAAATACGAAACAGACAGAAACGATCAAACGAGATGACGTACGCGAGCAAGTTCTTGGGGAAGAAGAAACCGAAGAAGGAAAATGCGTGACGGAAGCATACACGAACACGTAACACACGAACACACGTACACACATACCGAACATGCTGCCCTTTATTAAATCGTAATTGCAACGAAGTTTTTTCTCTTTCTACTCGAACTCGGCTAGTTTAATTAATCTAACGATCGATCGATCATTAAGAATGCGAGAGATTCTATACATATATAAATATATATATATGAATATAAATATAATTGTAAAAGAAAAGGTGTGTCCTCCAATCCTCGATGAGCTCGTTCTCTTGTTTCTCGTCGTGAACGGAGAGATTCGATGTAAATAGTAAGAGTTTTGTATATTTGTAAAATAGATAGGGCATTTTATTATAAACAATAAAGTTATTTATATATATTTTAATCACAACAAGGAGAACCGATTCCTTTTTACCCATTGCCAGCAAACAACGGGATCCGAGCCGAGAGTCGATCCCTTCCGGAGCGAGCGGCTAATCGGATCGACCATCGCTACGTGGATCTACGTAGGACGTCGCGTCGTCGCGATCTAAAATTCTATCAAGCGGTATGTATTATGGAGGCTTGTTAACGGCCTCCGTTAACCAAACCATTTAATATCATTAGCGTTCAGATCGGTTCCTTCAATGATGCACCTCACTTACCGTCAACCTTCGTCCATTATTTTCTTTTCGTAGTAACGAGCTCCGTCTTACGATTCCGATGATTTTTGCAGCGTCGATTCCTACGCAAGCCGTGAGTAATAGTTTCGGTGAACGAGCTTTATTACTTTAATCCAACCGAAAAATACCCGGCAACAAGTGCGTATTTTCGATCGGCGATCGAATTTAATTCGCGTCACGCGTCCACTCTCTCTATTCCGCGACTATTTTTCTGCTGTCCGCTCGGCATTAAAGTGATTTCTCCGTGGGGAAAAATAATTACTTGCCACCAATTCGTACTGCCGCGGACGATTTCCAACCAATTATCCAATTGTGCGAACGGGAGAATGGCGAAATATGCAAAAACAATTTGTTCGATTCGCTCGCTTTGCGCTATTGTTCTTCTCGCATTACAATTGCTCGTGATAATCGAGGAATAAAGAGCTCGTGGATTATTACGAGTGTCCACCAGTTCTTGGAAACTCGTCTCGAGCGCTTCTCGAGGGTTTTTTAAAAATTTTATTTTACCGTTCTTGCCGAGCTCCAAGTGCGTTATCCGTCGCTCGCGGTTGTCGTTGCATTCATTTTCCATAACGGAATGAACGTAGATGTAGGTTAATAGATCCCCGTGAGTCGGACCGGATCAGGATATCTCTCTCGTGGTCGTTGGCGCGTTCCAAAGGCGAGTTCTTACAATTGGAGCACCAATTAAGCGGACTTCCACTGAAAGGTGTTCGTACGTCCATAGTCCTCCCACTTTCCTAATTATTCTCCCGCTGGGAGACGAGCGAGTGGAGAACGAGACTAGAAGCGAGAACTATATGTATATATCGATGCATCGATCCGTATTAACCGGGATACCTTGTTACGTTTCATTCTCCGACGTGCTCCGGTCAGCGACGATTACCCTTCACTTTCCTAACGTTCTAACGATCGAACAGCTCCTCCGCATCGTCGAGAATTTCGCGTGTTCAGCCAAGCGTGTTTGAAACCCGGCGGGAATTCGCGACTTCGTTTTTCGATAATTTCGAAGTGATCGTGAAAAATTGTGTCGTTATAGTCGTTCATGCGTCGATCGAACAGCACCGGAAGGTAAAAGAATTGAGCCGCGAGCGAACTTTTTTTTTTCCCGAATTCGAAAATCGCCGGGCCGGGCGTTGGGAAATAATTCGTTCGCTGCCTAGGCGGAGGCTCTCGTATTCCGTCAACTCCACTTTTGGTTGCCATTTGTGTCGCGCAATGGAGTGCGCTGCTCCTGACAGCACTTCACATCCCCTGCGTCCGCTTTGTCCGCGGCACCGAGCCCGACAATGAGACACGGCCTCACGATATGAATGAATCCCCCATCCTTCCCCCGAGAACATCCCCCTCTGGCTGCAAGTGCAGATCGGCCGTGTCGCATGTATACCCGCGTGCAACCCGAACTCGAACTCGCTTCCGTCTCTTTCTCTCCTGCCGGATTTCTCCATCGCACGATCGCTCGTCGAAGCCCGCACTTATTTCCACCAATAAAGTCAAAGGTTCTCGAGAGCACGGTCAGCGTTTCGAAAGCATATCGGTCGAGTTGCTCGGGCACTTCGACGAGCATACCTGTGACTAGATTGCTCTACGCCCGACTTCGCCTGTAATTAGGAACGTGCGACACGTGGACGATACAAAACGAATTATCGATTCGCAAATAGTATCGTATCGCCTTGTCAACGATTACACTTTTAGCTTTGAAAGAATTAGAACAGAGTCAAACGTTAAGCATTGTTAGGTAACGAAGAGCAATCGTTTCACCGGAAGCTAGTTACGGTAAAGTGAACGGGATCGCGGCGAGTGCTCGAGAATAATCTGCCATGGAACGTTCTCTATCTGCCTCCTCCGTCCTGTTACACCCAGTGGCTCGAGCGCACTCGTCGATGTTAATATCGAAGAAAATATTCGAGTTGCGGGGATAGCAGCGCTTGTGCGGTATATACGCACTCGTCCCCTCTCCATAAATCCGCATCCGCGCGATATTGCCTGGCTGCCGGTACCCGAATCACAATGCCACTTGTATTATCCAAATATCTTGCATATATCCATATTAACCGTACAAAGCCGATATCTTCATTATCCGAATAACGCGGAGCAGCGGTGTTACACAGGTGGAAATGGGCCGTTCGGCGCTCTACGATCGCCCCATTACATCCCCAAAGACTCGATATCTACCATCTCGAAATCGGACTGGGTTTAATCCTTTCCTGTTCGATTATTAAGCAATGGAAAGTTGCTGATGCGAATATCGGGCATTCGATAAATATCGTTTAGGGACAATAATGACCACGGTTAGTTAATCCGGGTAATTTGCGCCGATGCTAATTTAAATCTACGTCATACATCATTAAAATTACTTCGCCGTTTCCGTGGAAGCTGCGAATCAAGGTGTAAAAAAATAAATATTTGACAATGAACAAATCGACGTGGCGCTGCACCCTCTTCTCGTTTTCGCGTAATATAAGGGAACATGTCGCATGACTAGATTTATGTACGGTTATTTGTCCCATAGGTAGAGGTGTACACGCTGCCTCGCGCATCGCGCGTCGTCGTCGTTGCGAATGAACCGAGCGAATGGTCTATGTATCTTGCTTTCTCTGGCTATTCTTCTCCCTTTCCCCTTTCTGTTTTCCCTTCATCCTCAAGGTCCGCGCACGATACGGATAACAAGCTGGTCATTTTTTCTTATTTCCGAGGCGTGAACACGAATTCTGATTTATTTCCCTCGTCGCGGCTCGCTACATCGGATGATATACGTTCTTCGTTGCGTTAATGACGCATCGCCTCGCGATTTTCTACTTAATGGAACATGCCTCGTCCGGTTGTTTATTAAGCGACGAAGACCAAGAAAACTGGTCCGAAAATTCGGACTTTACGAGCTCACGCATGAAGAAAAACGCGAATACGATACGGTTAAAAGCCGATCAGCGGTGTTTAATCGCGAGGAAGCCGATCTATGACGAGCTCGTCCTGCAAATAACTCGTTACCATCATTCCGTGGCTCATCACGAGCGGCGTGTTCGCGCGATTCCACGGCCAAGAAAAGGTTTTTCGAACGATCGTTTCGCGGAAAGGTGGAAGGTAGAAAAAGGTACACGCGAGCAACACGCGGGGCTGGGCGAGACGAGGCGAGGCGGACAGCTTCTTCTTGGCGTGCAGAGGCGCGTTGAAAAATGTCGAAAATAATTGAGCCGAACGGCTTGGCCTGGCTCTTCCAGTTTGTTACACTGCGGTCATAAAGGCGACCGCGTCGAGGAAAAAGCGACGAGCGGAGAGCGAGGAAGGAACCGCGTTTCGCTCCCGCTGCCGAAGGCACCGAGGTAAGTATTAAGAAGCTACCGGAATTCCTAAAGTTTGTTAGTTTGTCCCGAGGAGAAAAATACCCGCTATCATCTGGAGTCGTTTCCAGGGCGAGTCTCCCGTGTAACTTATCTTGTATAAGCCTGAAAATTCTTTTTATTTGCTGCTCGGAAACTTCGTCCTCCGGTTACACCTTCGTCGGCGTTGGGAATACCTTTTGCGAGAAACAACCATCGTATCTCGTTAATCGTTCCGAGTGGATACCCGCGCGCCGCCCGAATTTCTGATTAATTTCGAGGTTCGTCGGTATCGAGATCCGTGAAGAAGTTACCAACGCATTGGCGAGTCTATCGGTGCCCGAAATCGGAAACGAACACCGGAAATTCAGACCGCGGCGAAGTAAATCATAGACTCAGAGATCTTGCTCCGCGGCGTGGAATTTCCGCGATGCGGAACGATTTTTAGAACTCGACTCGAGGTTATCGGGGCGAGAGGAGCACGAGGAAATGTGTAAGAACTCGCTACGTGTCTCGAAATAAACATTTCCGACGACGAGCGAGCATCCGAGGCGGACGCGAGAGGAACTTCAGCGTAGCGCGAGGAAATTTCTCTGAGCCTGTTTTCCTTTTTTTCTCGAATTCGTTGAACAATCTCGTGAACGCACTCGCCTATTCATCGCGCGTATACCTACGCGCTTACTCGCAACGACCTCTCGTCGCTGCTAAAGCTAATTTCGCGCTATCTCCGCATACGTCCTCGTAATCCGATTGCAGCACGTAGGGAAAAGTGAATAATGGTAGCAGGGGGGGAGGGGGAAAGTGAGGAGCGAAAAGGCAGATGCTCTCAGCGAAAGAAGTAATCTATTCGTTAAGAAAGTCGAAAGTCCGTGAACGTTGGGCGAAAAATGCTCGCGATATTAAGGGAAGCGGTCGGGTGCGCGGGCGTTCCGCGGAAAGTTTGTCAATTTGTCGGGAAGCGGAAGTGGCGGCGGCCTCGCGGACCCCAGAAGTGCTCTTAAAGCCGTTCTACATTTTCACGGTATTATGTCTGCCAGTGCAGCTTCTCTTTCCTTCCCTTCGCTCTTCTACCCTTCCCTTCGCCATGCTTTACCTAGACCGGGGAGACGTTGTGTTGCTGCTGCTGCTG